TGGTGGGGCGGGGCGAGCCGAGGCCCCGCCCCCGGCCCGGGCGCCGCCCTCGCCCGCCCGGCACCCTGCGCACCCTGGCGCCCCGGGCAGAGAGAGATATTGGTGGGGCCTGGCGACGGGAGACGCGGAGGGAAGGGGACTTGCTACCCCCAACTCGTGGGTGGGAAACACCGGTAGTAAACCGTTTGCAAAACTGTACGTAAGGTACCCGGATTGGGGGAGACACCCAGCCAGCATTAAAGGCGTGCTCTTCCAAGTTAGATAAGTAGCTTACAACGCCCACCCAGAGGTTCTATCTGGGGTCATGGGTGGTGGTGGGTTTTCTTGACACCATTCCGTATCCCCCCACGTTTTCTCCAGTGAAAACTGCCTCCAGGGTTTCTCTAGAACCCCCTTTCCCTGAAAGTAAGCTGATTTTAAGGCGCTCTATTAGCAAAGACGGTTTGAAAGAGTCTACGTCACCCCCTCCCACCTAGGGGTAAACGACAGAGAACCAAGTTATTTATTGGGCAAAAACTGGTTTCTCTCACGAGATTGCTGAGAAACGTTTCATTTCCTCTTTCAAGGCTTGGGCAGTGGTGAGGTTGGAAATTTCAGAGCAGGGTATAAAGTACGTGGTGATGTAAGGCACTGCTTGACGTCTGACCCTAGAATGCTCCACCATGAGCACAGCAAGGGGCGAGGAATGTTCCCTTGGTCCCTACAGGCCACCGCACACAGAGGGACTTCCGTGCAACCCTAGAGATGCCGGCAGAGCCACAAATCATCTGTGTATTTACCCCCTCTAATGAGAAATAACTCCGAAGGCATTACCCAGTTTTATTAAAAAGTATTTATTATCCTTCACCAACTTATGACAATTATACAAAACTGAAGCACACACACACACATCAACACAGCCATAAAAAGTTTATCCCAAAAGATCACTCTAGAAATCTTTCAAAATATGATAGTTGCTTTAAGAGGACGGAGAAATGGGCACTTTCCATCATAAAGTTCCTTTCCTAGGTGATTTCATTAGGTTATTAAATAACCCTTTCCCCTCTCACATCCCTCTCCTTTGAATTACTTTTGTTTTTGAGAAAGGGAGAGAGAGAGAGAGAGAGAGCGAGAGAGCGAGAGAGAGCGCACGCATGGGAGGAGGGGAGGGGCAGAGAGAAGGGAGAGAGAGAGAATCCTAAGGAGGCTCCCTGGCCAGCAACGGAACCAGACACCAGGCTCTATCCCTTAAAACATGAGATCATGACCTGAACCGAAATCAAGAGTTGGATGCTTAACTGACCAGGCTCCCCTCTGAGTTACTTTTGAGCAGTAACAAAAATATTCTCTTCAAAGTCCTTGAACTAGGACTCATAGTTGTGGTTTCCCCCCTTTTGGGTGGACCTAGCAGATCTGAGAAGCCTGCTCTTGGGGTGAGGGGAGTGGGATAGGAGGTCCCGCACAATTCATTCACCTTGGGGGCCTCTCAGGGTTGCAGCACCTTCACCGGAGTCTTCAATGCCTGTGTATTTTCTAATTTTTAAAAAATGTTTATTTTTGGGGGGGGGGGCCGGGGAGGGAGAAAAGAGAGGGAGACACAGAATCTGAAGCCGGCTCC